GCTTAGTTTATTAAGGCTAGGTTTATTTTATGTTAAAAGGCTGGCAAACAGGTATATGGCCGACCTGATGGTAATAGTGTTGGGTAGGACACGACTTGAAAAAGAGTTTGTAAGAGTAGCCTCTTTTTTGTACTGAGCCAGTACAATGTCCCACTTCAAATGAGGCGAGGCGTACTGAAGCTCGGCAACACATTTGAAGTGACGAGTACAAATATGACATTGAGGCGTACAGAAGCTCGACATTACGTTTGTGTGCACGAGTAGCACCTCCTCTACGCACTATCAATCTTGCTGGATCCAGCATGCAGGACAGCGCTATACACGTAAAAGAAATAGAGATACAGATGGATAGTGCGTAGAGGACTTAAATGAAATGTCATGCCTCGCTCTCTCTCTGAGACTTACGAAGAGTGAGTGAGTAACGAGACGCGACTATCGCGACATTTAATGTGAAGTAGTACATTTTAAAATTTTGAGCCGCTCTTACATTTTGACGTCATGTCCGGGACAAATGTACCGCCTCTTGTAAGTCCTACTCAGATGGTAATAAACATTATCATTTATTCAGTTTAGGATGTTACAAGCACTCATAAATGTCGCGAAGCTACGCCATCTACGGCGGGAGACCTTGTACTGAGAAGAACCGGCAAGAAACTCAGCAAGGTCTGCCTTTTCTCCCTGTTTTATTATTTACAGAGTCGTCAAGTTGAAAAATGACTTCAGAGATGATTCATGAAGTCACCGTTCATTACATAATGTGAAATACACATTAATTGTTCAAAAGTATTAATTGTAAGTGACCACCATAGCCTATAGAAGCCAAGGGTGGATCCGGGGGGGGGGGGGGGTCATTGGGGTCATGACCCCCCTGATTTTATTTAAGTACTTTCAATAAATAAAACTAGTTTAAACGGGAAAATGCACGAAACTTTATTTATTTATTGACGTTTCGTAGCCTTTCCAGGCTTCGTCGTCAGAATAAAACTTTTGTTTAATTTGTCGAGCTTCCTTCGAAAGACTTTTATTGAGCGTTTGGTTAATTCATCGTTCGATTTTTAAGTTTTATTGTCTATGTATGAATTTATTATTTAATTTACTTAATAAAGTATTTTATTTAAAATTCTTGTTTGTAATTTTGCGTTTATTTATTTGACCCTAACTAAATCCCGTTTAAACTAGTTTTATTTAATGAGTGATGTGCGTGAAAACCTAAGAAACAAATAAGTACTTTCAATATTTAATATACCGCGACTATATGACCCCCCCCCTGGCGCCAAAGCTAGTGTTATTTTAATGTAGTAGTCTACTAACATTTTTAAAAACTTATTTCATATTTCCTAAAATACGAAAAGCTATTCCATTGGTTCATTATACTTTTATCTTTGATCGAAGACATTATTATAAGAATTAAACTACTATATTTGTAAAAATAACAATAAGAATAATCTAAATGAACTTTTACTACAGTAAAATCAACACGGTCAAGGCAGCAGACTGGATTCGAAGCTGCACTTTGCGCTATCCGGGCGAGAATTGCGACAACCTACTTATCCTTCTCTCTGTGATTTATTGTATATTATAAGATTTTCATGCGCGGATCCACATCGGGCCGCGCGTGAATTTTTTGGGGGAAAAGCACTGCAGTAGTAACGTAAGAAAAGAACAAAAGTTGTTTAGAATTAGTCACAATCACAATCGATGATGTATGATGTGAAATCGTACATCGATTGCTGTGAGATCAAAATTATACAAAAGTGCAAGTGCTGCAGTCCAGTCAATGCACAATTTTCCCTAGCCATTCTACCAAACCGCACCGATTAGCACCATTATATAAAAAAACTAGCAAACCAGTGAACCTTATGTTCACCAAAAAAAAAAAAATGTATTTAATTAATTGAGAACTTCGGAGATTTTGTGTGGTTTCGTTTGAAATAGAAATCACGTGATTTCTCGAAAACCGGAAGTGCTACGTTACTCAAATCCGGTTTTTAGTCTTATCAGACTATTCTTAACTTATAACTTAAACATTCTCTATATCTATCTCTTACGGTTTGGCCGCTGAAACAGCACCACGGACGGACGGACGGACTTGTCTAATAGATAAGAGATAAGTATGGGAATGGATAGATTGACTAGTTCTAGGCAACTTTTGTTCTTTAAAGTTTTTACTAAAGTCATTACTTTTCGGCTTATTCGAGAGAGAAAAAGTAAAATTTTCAACAACTTAAACCACGGCTTTCATCGTAAACTCTGTAAATAGTATAAATTTTTGGCACGAAATCTACGGACACTACCTTCCCGTCCAAACACTGCCAGTCAACAAGCGATCTTTTGGACATCTTTTGGATCTTTATTCCACTAAATAAATTGTCATAGTTTCGCTGCGAGATTGAAACTATGCCCGCCGCGTGACATGTATTTGAACGAATAAAGGTATACTAGACTTTGATTATTTTAGAACAGTTTATTCATGATCTAAAAGAATTTATGTATTTAAAAAACTATATATTCATGTATAACCTTGAGCGTAAAAAAAATATTCACTATAACATAGCAAGAGTCGCGCGTGTGACACGGAAAAATCTAGTGAAATTACAGCGTTTTTCAGTTTCAAATGGATATTTAACCAATTTCTTTAATTAAATATTATTTTTTATCAATGGGCCTCAACACTACAATAGTTAAATAAAGTTTGGAGTGGTACTTTATTCAAGTTGGTCTATTACTCCAGTTAATATTTCAATGTGACCCTTAAAATCATGGGTCCCAGGAATCAACGATTTTATGAAAAAAATCATTCAGAGTAAAATTGTAGGTTATAAAAAACAAAAAACACTGGGTTTTAAATACTACTTTATAGAATACTAACTGAGAAATATCTTATTAAAAGTTGGTTCTTCTTTGTGAAACGCTAGAACCGAAACTTTCAACGTGAAATATCCAAAAAACAATGAATTTTTCGGGGAAAACTAAGCAACAGAACTTTTTTTTAAGAGCTCGAAAAAACCTTTTTTTTTGTTTTTTATGGAAGTCCGTAGTATAAAATTAAAGCGAGCTTTAAAACATTTTACCGCACGCTCCGTTTATGGCTCGTAATTTTGTACTTTCAAACAATGTTTAAACAATCTCCGTAATTGCATTTTTTGAGTAAATGTGTTGAAAAAAATTTTTTTATTCATTACAGTATACTTTTATTACATATGCAACTGCATAATATGACAAGGTATAAACTAATATTATATACCACCCACCAATCCGCACTGGGGCTGCGTGTTGGGTCATGGTCCAATATCCCTATTTCGTCCTAATAAACATTATCCTACGCACCAATCCGCACTGTGGCCGCGTGGTGGATCATGGCTCATATTCTCATATTCTGTCAAACCATTACACCAAGTTTCTAGCTACCGCCGTCAGCGGTCGCTCAGCTAGCTGTCAATCTAGCTACCTATCCAGCTGCCTCTCTAGGTTGTGACGGAAAAATCACATTTTTTAGCCCAGCCCGCATCCGCCATATGGACCAAAAAGGAATTTTGTTCCAATAAATATACCTTAGGTTTGATACACACATAATCGGGCCGGCAAAGTCAGTTCGGCAGTATTTGTCGAACAACAAAGCTGACATGTAGTAATTACTGCCGGACATTCATTTAGACATATTCGATTTTACCGCCCGGCTGTGCCGATTAACGCGGGCCCGCTTATGGGTGTAGCTACCCTTCCACTCATACCAATTAGGCTAGGCCCCGAGTAAGTATTTTGGGTTGCGTAAATTCCAATCATAAATTCAAATTAACTATGTATAAAATAAAAGATGTATGTATTAAAAACATAACTATCCTATATAATATTAATCAAAAGCCCCTTTTAGTAGGTATGCATAATTATAAATGTTGACATCGCATTGGTATAACGAACTAAAATTATTTCAATACAATTTTATTCCACAAAATGCCAAATGTCGTATTACAATCATTACGATCTCAATTGAACATTATTAAAGTATGCAACACCTGTCCATTTAGCAAATACCTGTTTGTGTTTTTAATAACATGAGGACCTATAGCACTACCCTGTGGAACTCTTTTATTGATTTAAGGAATTTCAAGTGTCCGTATTCAGAAGGATTTGGAAAATAAGAAAACACGTTTAAGGTTCAAGACCTCTATTGCGACTACGATTAAAATATACAAAATGTGGCAGGCGTAGCTGCCGACACTCACATACGAGTATATACACAATACATTTGGTGTAGTATAGGTATGATGTAGGTAGGGTATAGAATTACGTTTACTCAACAAAACATAATGTGTCCCTACATCAAGAAATCTAAGTTCTCGTTATATGAAATAACATAATTTTGTCATCTTATTTCACATTTTATTTTTCATTCATCATATTATGATTCAATTATTCTTAAATGTTACTATTTATGTCAATACATTTAGATTCAAGCTCAAATGTAAAGCGCCTGATTTATTTGTACCACGTATTTATGATGCGTTATTACAAGAAATCATGACAAAAAACATTAAGCTATAGGCATAGTAAGTAGTCAATGACTTTTAAATGATAATCACGAGAATACACTTTGTAGAAAGCCTTTGGAAAATCTGAATATGAAAATGAATTAAGCCCGTACACCGTGCCGAAATTTCTAAGAATACAAACAAAAAAGATTAAAAACTGGGAATAAAGGTAGTTTTAGAAACTTTTGAGAGCTTTCGACGGCCTCGCGTGCAAGCCTTCACCCCACACCCGCTGACATAGTTTGGGTGGTTTGGGTGCAACGCGCTTCTGCCGGAAGTACAATGCGATTATCGATTTGCTTATGATGACAGAAAATGCGTTGAATGGACGAGGATCGTGGCGGGGCGGGGGGCGGGGCCGGCCGGTCGACGCTTTAGTTCAGTGCGCGCGGGGCCGCGGGCTGCGCTGTCGTTCCACGCAGCCCGCTAAACGGAAACCAATTCGTGTGTTGTGCAAATGCTTGTGTTTTTATGGCGTTCATATTTCTACAACTTTTGGTGTTGGGTGTGATCGCGGCGGCGGCCGGCGGTTAGTTTCTTGTTCTTATTAGGTGTTGTTGTGGCCACGTGCTTTCCCGGGAGCGAGCCGTGTTTACGGCGCCGGGCGCATGCGCTCGTCTTGTTTGCTTCGGCCGCGGGTCAACCGCCTAACCTAAAGCCTACATACGTATCAGTCTGTCAAGTAAGTCTAGAATATAGAACAGGAGATGGTGCGGCCCGTGAGTGGTAAGCTAATCGATGGAACCGCTTGTTTTGTTCTTTCGTTCCTCGCGCCTTTCCTTCCTTCCAAAATAAACAGGTTTCGCCTTCCGAATGTTTTAGTTTACTCCACTACATTTGCTGCTGACACCGGATGGTTCTCTTGTTTACTCCGCGCTAAATTATCTGTTTGCCTCTCCATGCCCCAAAAGTTTACAACGCGCATTTGCAAGTATTTGCCGTTGTCCTTTTGTTAACAAGATTCTTATTTGGAATACTTGTAAGAAATAATCGTTTGCCCAATAGGATACGCGAGTTATGTATAGTTAAGCACAACACAAGCAGTATATAAAATTGGTTAGAAAAAGGAAGCTTGTTTGGTTCTCTATAGGATTTCGTTAGGTTTCGATAAAATTTATCTCGATAATACAATTGGTAAAGCTAATTGAATAACTAAGATTAGAAATGAATACGTGTAATCCATCATTGTATAGATATCCTAGGGTAACTAGGATATTGTTTAGCAAAGAGTTTACAGAAAAGAAGAAGAACGTGATAGTTTAATAGAATTTTAGAATTATTGTGATCAAATAAAAGCGCGAGTCGAGTGAGTGAAGTGAGCATGTCACTACAGCGTTCGGCAAAGCTTCAAATACTTTGTTAAATTTTTCTACATTTCTGGACATTTGTAACATCTGGAATGTTAACTCATCTATACTTAATGCTTTTAATTTCATACTTCATGATTATCATATTACATTCTTCTTATTATGATTGAGGGATTGCATATATGCGATATATCTCAAGAAAATCTAATATTTATATCAGAAACTTACACAAGTTTAATAAATATACTAAGCACTATGTTGAAATATATTTCAGAAATTTTACAAAATCTTACGGCTTACGAGTTCAGTTGAACTTGTTCACCAAAACCCAAAGCAGAATAAGAATTACTTTACATAATAATAGTAATTCATATTTTGCCAGAAATAAATAGACTTTAGTTTGACATTTCATGCAAGCTGTAAAAAAAGTAATTCTACAATAATTTCAATTTATGTCAACGACGCAAGCTGGAATTTTTCATCATGTCTGCCTGAACGCCGTGCGTACACGCATAATATAACAATAACGGTACGTAGGAAAATATAGTTAAAAGTAATTGTCTGTCAAGGTTAAACTTCGTTACTTATTAGGTGTGACATAATGTGATATTGTTCTCTCGTACTATTTTCTACAAATTCCTTTATTTGATTATACGTGATACAATAAACCATGTCAGTCATCCCCGTAAATTTAGCTGAAGGAAACATTTAGTTTTTATGAATAACCTTGAAAAAAAAGACTTAATTAAGAGACTACAGGAACTTTAACTAAGTCAAATATTAGGTCAATTTATTTGTAGGTTTGATAACTTGCATTATTATTGAATTTTGAGAAAATATTAGAAGTTAAACAAAATTATTTAAAGCTCCTTTATTCCTTAGTTTTAGGTGAGTGTTAATTTTAAATAAACACAAATTATCTGAGTGACAAAATTATATTTTACTGAAAAACTCATAAAAAATACATGGTACTAATAAAGTCGAAGGAAAAAAATATGGCAATATAGAAATTAAGGAGTTACCTACTAAGCATTGATTTGCACAACTGCATTCCTCTCAAAAGCTTTAACATATTCCAAAACAATTTCACGCACAATATGCGACGACAGCTAATAACCGAAACGGATGATACAATCTGGAGTGAAAAACAGTTTATAAAACAATCTGGAACAAAGCCCATTAAATAATATGATCAATAAATTCGCGCAATTTACTGGCTAAAAAGATTTGCAACTGAAAGTTAATTCGCAAACGTAGTCGACCAAAAACTTTTCTTTAAACAATGTCTTGCTCGGATTCGAAGTTATCCTATTCATCAAGTCAGTCGCTGGTAACATCAAGCCAAAATTCTTGAAGTTCACAGGGCCTACTGTACGAGATGTTGGCTAAAACTATTCCAATGTAAAATCGATGTATCAAGTTTAAGACACAGGTCTTAGTCGTTTGTGTTCTAAAAAAAGTTTGAAGGGGATTGTTGGCCTTAGAAAGTATTTTGTAACGCAACACTCCATCAACATAGGATCTAACAGAATTAAGCAAAATAAATAGCCTATGTATCTTGTGGTTGCATACATTACACATTTATGATATTTTAATACTTTGTCGATTTCTTTAATAAATAAAGTACTTACTATATCTAATTACTATTGGGACGACATTAAATAGCTTTATGTCGTCCCAATAGTAATTAGAACGCTGAATGTGATGTTAATGGCTTTTTAATATAAAACCATTTGTGCAAATTGAGTAAATTCGAGAAACATCTCAAGATGAACAAAGTTATCCAAACAACCCAATAAATATTGATGGAAGCTTCCCTTACTCAATAGCCAGTGATCGTATCTATTGAATTATTTCCAAGATAATAATTCTATTAATATTTATTGACAGTAAGTAGGAACAATCAAGTCTTTACAATACCCTGGTAACATCCCCAGGGTAATGTTTCTCATTATATATATACGTCCGGTCTGTTATAATATCAAATATTAACGATTATTTTTGTTTCTGATACGAAATCAAATATAGGTTAGGCAATGTCACAGTAATGACTTTCATTATAACGTATTTATTAATACGAGAAAACAAGCTTAATTTGCCAGTCTAGTCGACATAAACATAAAGGGGAGTCAATGAGATACCTATCGATAAAGGTAAATTTCCGACAGTAGGTACCTTGTCAGTACTAGAGACAGGCATAACTTTCTTACTTTGAACTGTGTTAATTAAGAATTGCCTTTGAGAATATGAAATGTTAATAAATTCATTCCTATATAGATGAAATTTTCTCCAAACAAAATCATTTTTGAAGGAATTCGGCTTTAGTCCATTCCATTCGTATACGACACGCTTAAAGATATACATTTCTAATATTTGTGTTTAAACTAATAAATATTTATGTAATTAAACGTAAACATTAGCTTTCTTTTTTATCTTTTCGATAAAATTAAGCAATTATTGAGCTTCTATAGTATCGAAACATCCGTAGAGGTTTCTTAAAAGTATCGTCATTTGATTGACAAATTACTGATTTTATTTGGCTTAGGAAATCTTTTGAATTCTCATATAATAGATGAAATGAGACAAAGAAAACAACAGTGGGTAGTCCGAATGAAAACCGCCTCTTGCGCATTGTGTGTTCCATTCTAACATCTCCGTCATCGTGCAATCAATCCAAAACCTGTCCAAAACGCTCACTTCCCGTTCATCAACGTTTTACATTGTCAATGCCCAACAGAGGCCCTCACATATTTTTTATGTCTAACGTTACGCAAAAAAATAGTGTGGCGTGGTAGTTCAAACTATAATCAAGGTCAACCGTCTTACCTAATAAATTGCGGATTTGGGAACATTCCTATGGTCTCTCTTCGCCTCGGATATCTTATTATTCGATGACCCCGTTTCCGAGGTGGGGACATCTTTGTCTTTGCCGATTGTCCCTAATTAAGGCCATCAACGTATATTCGCAATGAATATTGCTCGCGGAGGCTTTTCTATATCAAAACGCCCTTGGAGATCCATTTGCTCGAACGATTGGGCACTTTAGAGTTTGTTTACAAAGCGATCTAATTGGTTTTACGTTCATAACATCATTAGGTGTTGTCGGAAAAGCATGCGCACAATAACAATAAATTGTAAGAGTGTCTGCTAAGAGAATATGATCGTATTAAGGAAACTAACCGCAATTCCCAAAATGGGAAAATCTATTTAAAAGAATTGGCAGTAGTCCAAGATCCCAGTAGTTAGGGAAAGCAGGGCACCAGATCTGGGATACTCCGAAATGTTATACAAGAAATATGGCCAGAGAATGACGACATCTCATTTGGTTAACAGAGACCGACTGTGGCACCGCAACTGTTTAGTCTTTTACTTAAAGTGGTCAGCTTGCGTTCGCTTACATTAAAATAATAATAGTTCAGATATTAAAGTTTCGTGTTCGTTACAGTTGCGTGTCCAATACAATAACGCGTTCAGGATGCTGTTGGGGCTGCCGCGATATTGTAGTGCATCAACGATGTACAAGTGTCAAGAGTAGCGTCACTGATGCGCAGAGTCAGGGGTAGCTCTAACAGCATCTTGGCCGTCATAGCAGGCAAATTGGAGAGTCCCTTGTGGAGACATTGGGTACAATCTCATGTCTCCACATACATTAAATATAGAAGATAGTTTAAATAGAATTGCACTAACATAGTTTCTAAGTTTTAATGTTACTTAACCTTCTATGGACTATACGGTCTGAAATAAATGATTATTATTATTATTATCATTTGCGTTACTAAAAATATAATAAAATTCTATAATTTTCGTCATCAGCCCGCTTTATTCCACTGCTGGACATAGGCCTCTCCCATGGTACGCCATTGGGCTTGGTCTTCAGCTCTCCTCATTCAATCATTACCTGCTGCTTTTCGGATGTCGTCGCTCCATCTAGTCACAGGACTTGGCGTCCTACGTTTGCCGATTCGCGGTCTCCACTCCAGGACTGGTCTGCCGCAGCGGCCACCCGGTCTACGGCATATATGACCAGCCCACTGCCACTTCAGTTTGCTTACCCATTGAGCTATGTCTGTAACTTTAGTTTTCTGGCGAATGACTTCGTTCCGCATCCGATCCCTCAGAGAAATCCCCAACATAGCTCGCCTCAACCAGCAACAACAGCAACCTTAATTTGGTGGACTAGCCTTATCGTCAGCGGCCACGTCTCGGCTCGGTACATCATCAC